GGATGTGTAACAAGACAGACCTATGCACTAAGTTGAATGAAAACCCAGGTGAATATTCATCATTTGAATTAGTACAAAATAAATATAATAAAGATAAATAATCTCCACTAAATCAGCTCTGGTAAACTATCCTTCTGGCAATCTAAAGCATGAAAAGAAAATGATCATATATACTATCAGCGGATATATCAGAGAAGTAAAATAGCAGGGAAGGAACAGAAAACGCTATGCTTCACTAAAGCCAAAATATTCACATTCAATGGGACATGTTATGCTATCACTCAATACCTGCGATTATGTACTCCTCAAGCAACTAGCATAAAATTATAAGTAGGTGATAGTGTGATACCTGTGATTATGTAATCCTCAAGCAACTATCATAAAATTATAAGTTTGTCCCAGCTAAGAGTGGCTATGGAAAAAACCAGTTACAAGTTGTGTGTCAGTTAGAAATCTGATGCCATCGGCTAGTCACAGATTAAGCAAATTATCACGGAACATCTAATAAACTGTAACTAATTGGTGTTACAGGGAACTTAACAATTTTAGCAGAAAAGTCTCCTGAGCCCTCATTGTAATACACAAACTATGGCAAACTAAAGCTACCTACAGTATAAAATCTCCAACAGTGATAAATATAAGGGATCCTTATCTTAAAATGTCTTGACAAAACCATTTGACACCAAAATCAAGAATAGTAGCAGCAGCAACTAATTGATTTACATGGAACATCACAATTCTATCAGAATAGAAAGTCTCCAAAGTCACTCAATGTAATATAGTTCAAACTATGGAAAAACTAAGGTACCTACATTATGCAACCTCCAAAAGGTATAGATCTAAGAGAACCTTTTCTTAAAATGCCACATTCACAAAACCATCTAACTCCAAAATCAACAATAGTAACAAAAACGTGTACGGTGTCCCCTGGACCAAGTCTACCTCTGGAACTGTTGATGACATCTAAGTGGAACTTGTCTAGTACAATATCACCCATAAAGTTTTTTTGGCTTTATTGCAACCAACTCTAAATCTCTAAAACAGCATTGCCTGATGAGTCAACCATTGCACATTTGCATCAAATATCAAGTAGAAGTGTTGCTTAACCAAGGCAAAACATGCCTTGCTACCAACATGTGTTTTTTCAAATGTGAAATATGTCAAACGTGAAAATTAGATTACAAGCGCAAATCAAAAGCATGAAGGTTGATATTCATAGTAATTTTCCATTATGCTATTGATATAGCTAATAATTAGTCCTCATTGATAACATTCTTCATGAATCTTTTCTACAGTTAATAAAGTCAGAGATTGCTTGGGAACATACTTACTTCAGTTGCAAGAACGTAATTTCCTTTCGTTTCAATTACAAAAACTTCCTATTATATTTTTTCATCTCCATTACTTTTATCCTCAGTTACACAGGTAGGGGTAGGGGTGTGAGTATGGGTGCTGGTAAAAGACACAACAATTTGTAAAATGTAGGGTACAGGGACATGACTACACATGCATCTAGATATAATAACAATTTACATGACATCAATATTATTTTTTCATTTCACTTGCTATGAAATAAAATTCCTATAATATTTCTATATTTCTTTTATAATATAGATCTATAAATTAGAAAAGTGCACGTTTTTTAACTTGACATCCAAAAGACACTTTATAATCATAGTTTTGAAATGGGTGTAGCTGAAACAAACCTAACTTATGTCCAAGGAGTTTCAAGAATTGCATGTGAAGTGCAAAATGTGCGTCCAAGGAGTATATGATGAGTGTGTTAACTTAAAACATGTATTATATAATTGAGTACACATTTGAATAAGGAATGCAAATATGAGTGTCCACTGATGTTTTAGTGTTAGGTACGGGTATGACACGGGTACAGCTCCAAATAGAAGTACCCATGCAACATAGCTTTTATCTTATTAAGGCTATCATTGCACTTCAACTGCTTTTATGCTTTTCACTTATGTCTTATGGTTTTGAAAATTATCAAAAAAAAAAAGAGCTCAAGTTGTGTCCCAAGTAATCTCATGGTCACACATCCAAGTAATCTGAAGAATGAAGCAACAGGCTCACTTTGTATGCAGTTATAGTCTACTCTTTCCGAGATTAAGAACTAGCTGAGCCAACTCCAAAAAAAATGAGATAAAATATTGTACTATTCTTGTCGTTGCCTTTAAATATATCAATAAAAGCTGAGCCTATTAAATGTAATGTTAACATAAGAAACAGATAGTGGTTCCTTATGTATATTAGAAAACAATGCAATACAGACCTGTAAAAGATCTTCAGCAGATGTTGAAGAATGCAGCTTCACACCCCAAGATTTTCGATAACCATCTGTCCAGAATGATTGAAGAGCTTCTGCAGGAATTGAGGCCTGCAAAAAGGAAATTTAACATCACATAATGGAAAAAAACCCAAGAAACTTCAATCTGAGGCATTGACAATGACTAATTCCACACCTCCATTAGGGATAACTGTGCCTTGAGTAATTGCAATCCAATGGAAGGAAGAGAATCTGACACTTCATATATCCAATCAGGATCCATTTTTTGCTTGTCTTCACAATGAGATACATGTTCTGAAAATTTTGCATCTACATTATACATGGGCTTGAATGTCCTGTGGCAGGAAGGACAATGCCTCTCCTCCGTGAAGTGACAGTTGTAGCATAAGTGGCAAACTTGCAGAAGCTCTGGACATCTGCTCTTCCCATATTTCATGGCACATAATGTAGAGGGACTATAATATTGTTTCCACATCCATCTAAGGAAAACCTTGTATCTACTTAAGATGTCATTTCTCTCCATCTTGTTTCTTCCAGATTCAATTTGGAACGGTGCCAAGGACTCCGCCGAATCAGAAGAAAGACTGGAAAGTATGCTGCTGGGACTGCTGATTCCTTTCTGGCAATTGGGACTTGATGTCATATCCAAAGCCCCTGTTTCTGTTTTGACAACACATCCATCCAGCTTCACTGAGCTTGCATGCTTTTTGTTCCTTCTAATTGCCTCTTTAAAAGCCGGCTCAATTCTTTGCATCATTGAGTGTAAATGTGATTCCCTAGCTCCCCGTGTATCTAGAGCAGCTAGAAGAGCATCAAACGCCTGCATAATGATTTAAAGTTACTTAGAGACAACACAAGTAAGCATCATTTATAAGGATTACCAATCAACATAAGCTAGAAATTCAGACAAACAAATAGCTGTAATTATATGTCTAAAATCGGGTCTAGCAGAGGATCATTTGATTATAAAAAACATATTCGGATAACTACATTCTATATTGAATCCACAGTCAACTAGTTAAAACTCCGTGGTATGCCAACACATACTTGTTCAATCCTTCATCAAAACCCAGTATGTTAAAAAGAATACCTCAAATGTAAAGCATGTGAAGGAAACTACCAAGGAAACTGGAAAAAGTTCAACCCAAATGTAGTAGGACAATTGAGAAGTAACTGCCTATAAGTAATGAAGACTAATTAGATTCACCACTATCCAGACAAATTTAACATTGATTAGACACCTAGAAGTTTGTACATGCGTCTTATATAAGCAAACTGTCATTGCATCACCATACACTTGAGTCATGTACTAAAATATAACAGCAAGTAATGAACCTTCTTTGAGAAACAGATCGACTATCAAAAGACTACATTTCGTCAAAACTAGTGTACTTGACTGTCAGTAGACTCTACACATAAATATGTTCATAATACTTCAGATGCTCAAAATTAACAAGCTTATAAAATATATAGGCCTCAATTAAAGAAGTTCACAAATTAGCTACCTCCTCTGTATCAATGAGTCTCCACAAGCCATCTTTTGATTCAACAAAGATTCTTCCAGCGCCTATCTCATTAGGAGAAGCAGATGTCGAAAATACCCAATATCTATTACGCCTGCGGTCTTGACCCAAGGGTAAAGACCTATATTCATAATGTTGTTCAGCTTTGTGGCCAATGTATGATTTTAACTGTGACCGAGACTTTTCTGCAACATATCCATATTGCTGAACAGAAAGAGCATCTGGATTTGTAGAGAAATCTTGTCCTATTGAACTCCTCTCAGACATATTATTGACATTATTTTGGCATTGTGGGTCAAGAAATTGGTCATTGCCATCCAGGACTGGATTCCCATCTATATCCTTGCTATTGATAATGTCAGGTGGGGTCTGACTTCCTTCTGCAACATTCATTTGGGAAGTATCAGCCTTAGAGCCCAGAATGGAAGAATATTGTACTCTGCTCATGTATTCTTCTTTGAAACGCCTTTTATCCAGTTGTGCATCTGCCCACATTTGCTTCTTCAGAACACTTGCTGCTTCCAAACGCTCCTGCAAGACAAACATCAGATGATAAACTGTGAACATTAAATGACTTCAAAGAAACATGAAATGGGCCAAAGCGAATCATTACCTCCAAAATAACCCTCATGGAGTTTCCTTCAATAGCCACATCGATCAAAGCAACAAGGGCATTAAGGCGCTCCTCAACAGGTAAATCAGAATAATCACCTTCCATTAAATGTAGAACCCAAAGTGCACCAATGTTGCTTTCATCAATTACTGTGTCCTCGACATCAGCAGTGATTGCTTGACAACTTGGTTCAGTACTGGCTGGCTGGGGTGAATCCAAAGCACACATCAAACTGAAGTTTCCTGATGGATGTGCTGAAGAACTTTTGGCCATGTTCATCAAACTGCTCCGCGGCGTTGCCTCAACCTCATCACATAGCATTTCAGACTTCACATTTTCTAATGCAGCTGGTGTATTAGAATCTTTTAACTGCATGGAACTGTGAACATCCTTACTCAAATTTTCAACAGTATTTGTATCGTCAACTTCGGGATCGTCAGCCCCATCACATTCAGAATCTTCATCTCTTTCAGCTTCATCTGCATCATCTGCATCCTTTTCACCCTCTGAGTCAGAAATACCATTTTGAAATACCTGTATTTTCTCCCGTGCAGCTGATAATATAGCATCAGCATCGGCAGGATCTTTCCTGAAAGGGGACCGAACGCAATATGTTGAAGGAGCTGTTCTTTCAAAAAGTTTGGTATCTCTGGACAAAGCAGCAGCAATAGATGCTTCTGGTGTCTTGCTTGTCGTGAGATCTCTCAATCCAGATTTCTGAGAAGTAAGGGATTTAGGAAAATGTCAAACAAGATCCAAGATGAAAAAATGATGCTACTTAATGCAGGTATACCTGAATCTTCTCAGCAACTTCTAAAATTGTCAATCCTTTGCTCCCCTCAAGAGAAAGAACATGAAATGCAGCAAACTTGACCGTTCCAGGAGTTAATCGATGCCGTGATCTACGTCGATGTGAGTAACCCTTTTCATGCATTAGAGCAACTGCATTTTCAGCTGCTGCACCATTCCGTAAAGTAGATATTACATCTTCACCATCATTACCCTTCACAATGTTAGCAAGTCATCATTACTTAATAACGATAAAGTTATACCATCAAATCCCTAAACTAGAAGTAAACTGAGAACTTCACAAATGTTTCTCTTTGACTCAAACAATACAAAAATGTTTAATAAATGGACAAAGAAAGTGGAAAAAGAAAACTAAGACGCTGAATTTTGAAAACCTACCAGTGCCAAGAGGGGTGTCTTATTCACAACAACTAAACTGAAAATATAAACTTCAGGTTCATGTATCGAATCTCTGACTTTATTATATATTTCCTTATTTATTTAAATAATTGAAGAAATGGAAAGGAAAACTTTGTGCTACAACTAGACAACATTTAGTAACAACAAAAGCCATGGGAAAAACAAAACTCATATAAATAAGAATGATGCATAAATAAAACTATTCATTATTAAGGAACAGTGATAAATACCTCATCGTCGTCATGTAGATACGGAAGCTCAACTCTTCTTTTCTTTAACTGAGGTCCAAATCCAGCTGATATAGCAAATTGCCGTAATATCTCAGGCCAAGACAGAAAATTCAAGTGACGTTGCCAGCTGCGAATATCAAAACCCCAAGCATATGCCTAGTACAAATTTGCACAATTTAGAGCAGACAAACCATCATGTGAGACCAGCAGGAACTAGTTATAACTAACAAAGGGTGCAAGAGTGTACAAAAGGACACACCCCTTCAATTATTTGAGGATGACCGCCTCCAGGATTAGCGGCACTATTTTGATTATACCCATATGCCATGGCAGGGGTCCTTGCAACATCCTCTATATCTTTAATGATCGACTTCAGCAGAGCAACATGTATTTCTCCCAATAATTTTGAATCCTGCAGAGATACGAGGCTAAATCAATATGAAGCAACTAGCAAGGCAGGGTATGCAGAACAACCAGGTGCAGAAAAAGCATAGTCCAGCATTGATTTGGTCAGCCAGCATATGCAGAGTACGATTATTAAGGTTGATAATGTATATTTTCAATGAATATTATCATTTTTCAGAACTAATTTTGTTCCCACAGATTTAAGGAGAAGAAAACAACAAAAACTTGTGAAATTAGAAAAGTATGTGAGCAGTAAAAGTAAGAAAAAATTATTTTTCTGGAAAGGTGTAGTTAATGTCGCTGTCTTGAAGAACCAAAGGGTATAAATTGTTCCCCCTGTGAAACATCATTTACTGCCCTTGTCCAAAAACAATAACACTAAAGCATCTAAATACAAGCAACAATACAGATAACTTACATAATCATGAAGTGACTGAAGAAACTCATCTATCGTGAATGTACAGAGCCCAAGGACATCGGTGAAAGTAACTAAAAACTTCCAAACCTGAAATTCAAAATAGAAAGGAGTCCAAATATATATTAGGCATGTCAACAAAACAAGGAAATTTATAGCATAACAGTTACTATTATAGAAAACCTGATCAAAGTTCAATTAAATGATACTTCAAAAGAAGGCAGATGTAAGGTAAGAAGGATCAATCATAAAAGAAATGTGGCGAGGGATGCTCATTAATGCTTGAGAGGTTAGTTCATTATACGAAGCCCTCACAAGAGTATTAAATAGATAATGCACGAACAAATTATTAAAGAAGAAACTAAATATGATGAAATAAAGAAGTACCATAAGAAAGTTTGCAACATTCTCATCAGATCTGGCCCAAGGCAGAGTTGTAAAAGGATGTTTCAATTGTACGGACTTTGGAGGAAATGCATTCAACATATCTGAAGCAAAATAAAGTATATCAGAACAGATATTTAGTAGAAAAGTCATTCCACTTATTGGTGACTACATGAGGTAATATCTATTAGATCAATCATTCTTCAGTGCAGAAAACAAATGTTACTAGTCAAATTTATGGGTTATATAGGCAGAAGCAGCAAAAAAAAGGTACATGCTGAGATGCATGCAGACAATTGTACATGTACAACCATAGAACATCAAGTTGCAATTAAAAATGGTAAACTGTGGTTGCAGGAATATGTTAAGATGAACAAACCTCTGAACGAATCAAGCTGCTGCAAAGTTTCGCCGTCTAAAGCAACTATTGAGGATAACCCTTTACTTGATGCAGCCAATTCCATAAGTTCTAAGCGTTCATCCTCAATAAGCTCCATATATTCCCTAGCAATTCTACGAGCCGTAGCTCTATCGTTTGCAGCTTTAAGTCTTGCTGCTTCCTTCTCTCTACGCAGTTCTTCCTTCTGCCTCATCTTCTCGGCCTGATAACAAACACACAAGAAAAGTGTGATGTTCTTAACTGAACTTGTAATTTTCAAAAGCCTGTGACAGTAAGACTTACCCTCCGAGTTTCTTTTTGCAAGAACTTCTCTCTCCGTTCAAGCTCGCGCCTTTGTTCCCGTTGGATCCTCTCCTCCTCACGTTGCTTTTCACGCAACATTCTCTCTTCTTCTTTTCTTCTTTCTCGATCATGTCTCTCCATTTCCTTCCGCATCTGTTCTTCTCTCTGCAGGTACTAACTCAATTAGGTCCGCAGTTGACACAGTTCAGATTCAAAATCTTTTAAGCAAACAAAACAAAACCTTTCTTCTTAAAATGTCTTGCTTTTCAAGCTCCTTCCTAATCCGCTTCTCATGAGCTTCAACTTCCTTTTGAATTCTCGCTTCCTCACTCTGCTCAAGCTGAAATACCAGTAAACATTGGCTCCAAAGAGAGAGAGAGAGAGAGAGAGAGAGAGAGAGAGAGAGAGAGAGATTTTATGGATTTAGCATACCTTCCGCTTCCTCTCCAATCGAGTAGGATCATCATCATGGAATATCCTCCTATCTGAGGATAAGTATGGATTTTCTGATCCAAGGCCTTGGTGCACACCAAATTGCGCATCAGATGGACTGTTTGCAAAAGAGTGATTCTGTTGAGCATTTTCATACTCCAGTTGCCCAGAAGAGAAAGCTTGCGGCCGGCCTTGTTGCGGCAACTGACCTTGAAAAGTGTAAGTAGGAGCCACATGCTCATTTCCGTGCAAATATTGACCTCCAACTGGCAAAGATGAAACTCGTGTATTTGGAGTAACCACTGCCGAATCATAATAGTGACTCTGGGGCATCCTTTCATATGCTTCCGATCTTATGCTTGGCTGCTCAGGAAGAAACTGATATTCATGCAACGCTCTCGAACTAGCCTGAGGATGAACTACATGAGCATTTCCACCAGATGCTTTTCTCTTTCCACTTGAAGAACCAGGCACATAACAGTGATCCATGGTGGGCAAGAAAGTTGATGTCTGCAAACAACGCAGAAGTATGTGAATATCAAAATTCCATTCAGAAAATTGCTAAGCAATGCATATAGTCACCATCAATTACTACAGAAGCAACTAAGATGAAATCATTATCATGCAGCACGAATTTACAGTTTAGTGATCAAAATTTCAAACCAGAAAACAGCAGAAAAGGATGTACAAAATAAAAGGCGAAAAACATCACCTTAATTGCCTTGGCTTCATGCCTCTCGAACATCTTGCCATTGTACGGACGCATTGGCGGCTGCTGATGCGGCGTCACAGCTGTTTCAATAGAGGAAAAATGAGTCAGCAGAAAACATTCTTTGATAGGTAGAATTACCAGAACACATAGGAAAAGGAAGGTGTAGGAGATGGGTCAAAATAAGGAGCATAATCATAAAGGATTAGCTCGCATTAAATGGTCCGAGTTTCAATCTATGAAAAGGAGGCTCTACCAGTAGAGGCATGCTAGTAAATAAAACCATAAGCCTCAACCCTCACCACATTGGCGTGATGGTCCATTGGAAGGGACTTTAAGAATTATCACCAGCAAGGTATTGTAAATAACATGCAGAAGCACCCAAATGTTAGATTTAGCTTTCAAGAATTTCCTTTTTATTTTATTTTATTTTAGGGTGTGTTCATGATGAATATACACTACGTGTGGATTTGTTTAAATTTATATGATCAATTATCCATAAGTCATTTCCAAATCCAATGAGGATAGCATTAGAAGCCCAGGAACGCAAAAACAATTCAGAATGAACACTTTATTGCAAATAAAACCTATAAAAAAATAAAGATAGAAGAGGGACATGTCTGCATCCATGGGTGCATATGTGTCTGTGTGTGCATGCGTGTACCAACAGCCAACAGCTATTACCAAATTATCATATTCAAGGAGAGGTTATTAGCTTGTAAAGGACAAACGCTGAAAACATCTCAGCAAACCCTTAAACTAACTTTTTGGTGTTAGTTAAATTAAATGATTTCATTTTGGTGTTAGTTAAATGATTTCTTATTCAACATTATTTTTTCTCATATTTTAAATCTGCTAAAAAGGATACTATAGTTTACATCTTCTAAACCCAGTTTTCTTCCAGAAAAGCTTATTTATTTGAACCTATAATGTTCTCATCCACCTACAATCAGTAGTACAAAACGTTCAAGCATAGTTACCAAAGACCTCTCAAATCCTTGCTGTGTATTACCATACTGTTTCACTCACTAAGTTGCTAAATGCTAACCATGCTAGCCTCACTGAGTGCAAGCTTTTCGCTTCTTCTAACATGAACAAATTATTTCATCCATCATTCGCCAATCACAATAATCAACGTATCACTTCATAGAAGCAATAGGTCATATCATTGTAGAAGAAAGAAAAAGAGTTCTAACCAGAATAAAATAAAATGCCAAGAGTATTACAATCACATAACTAATCTCCAATATCAGCAAGCAACTTAAAACCTTCGGAGATGCAAAGATGTAGTTTCCATCAAAATGACAGCATAACTATGGTAATAAAAAGCAATACCTATGGGCGCCCCAAATGCCCCAGGAGGCAAGGGATCAAACTCCACCCCAAGTATCGGCCCGTCCTCTCTCAATGGTTCGCCTAACTGAGCCTCTACCGATGCAATGACCCTAAGTTCTCCCACCGAGAGCTGAGGTGGCGGCATTGGAGGCGGTGCGAGCATAGGCGAATGCTCATAGTACCTCTTCCCTATCCCCATCTCTGGCCCAACCCTCGATACCGCCCTCCCCACTCCACGCCTCGGCTCCCCACTGCTCAAGTATGGACTGCCAGAACCCGCCATCATTATATCAGCTGAGGGCCCAACTGGCTGAGGTGGCAGTGGTTCTTCTTCCTTTCTCGCCCTCTTCGCTGGCGGAAATTTCCGATCTTTAAGCCGCCGGTGACAGAACCACATCTGCAGTTGCCGATCAGAGAGCCCAATCTTTGCTGATAACTCCGCTCTCAAAGCCTCCGAAGGGTAAGTCTCCACTGACCAAAATCAAATAAAAAAATAACCAAAAATCCAAGTTTATTGAGGGGGGGAACAACAAACCCTAGAAAAACAAAGGAAACAAACCCGCATAAGTCTGCTCAAGAACTTCCAACTGATACGGGCTCTTCATCTTCCTCTTAGGCTTCTCGCCGTTGCTCCCGCCGTTGTTATTAGCGTTGCTGATCTCTCCGCCGCTCTCCGGCGTCTTCTTCCACGCCTCCCGCGGCGGCTTCTCCTCTCCTCCGGCGGAGACCTCCATCTCCGATCCCCGGTCGAGACCCTAACCCTAACCCTAGATCAAGCGAAAGGGGAAAGAGGAGAAGAAAAAACTAGGGCAACTTTTTTCCTGGACGAAAGAAAACGAATGGGCAGAAAAATTCCTCATCTCGCATTTATTTATAATAACAACGGATTAGCGTAGAAGAGAAAAATAAAATAAATAAATAAATCGATAAAAGGAAGAGAAAAAAAAAAGAGGGGGAGGAAAAAGATGAGCGGTGAGATTTGGCGAAGAACAATAAGAACAGCAAGAGGAACAAATCGTGTAGAAGAGAGATGGGCAGTAAAAGACTTGGAATTAAAATAATGATGATAAGAAGAAGAATAAAAATAATAACGAGGGGAGGAAAAGGGAGTTGGTTTGATTTGGAACTGGATTGGGATTTGGGTTGGGGATCGGGTTTGATCAAGAGGAGAGCGAACAAAAACAAACCAAGAGAAAAGCAGAATAGGATCGCTTCCATCTTAAAAAGAGAAATAATAACAAAAATAAAAAAGAAAACGTTTTCTTGATGTAATAGGCGTGGAGATTTAATTATTTGAGGAAAAAAGGAGAAAGAATGTAAATAGGGAGAGTGAGAGAGAGAGAGAGAGAGAGGATGCACGAATCGAAAAAATTTCTTCGGATTTTTTTTTTTTTTTTTTTGATTTTTTTTGTGGGGGGGGTTTAATTGGGGTGCGGTGTACAAAAAACTTGTGTACGAACGGGGGTTGGGGGTATTAATAAGAGGCCCCCTTGTTCATCGGGTTTGTGGAAGAATTTGGATCCGAAGAAGGAAGGAATGAGTTGAGACGTTCTTGTTCGTGACCAGGGGGGAGTGGGGCCCGCTCTCGCTGAACGCAACGGCACCCGAATTAACGTGACTCGAAATTGTACCACAGCTTTTAAATCCGCCCCCGGTCAACTGATGTTGCGCTTCAGGCACGAGCACCCGACTTCTCTCACCTGAAATTTGACCCGCTCGGTCGTGGGACCCATTTCGTTCTTAAAAGTGGAGGTCAAGTTTTTGGTGCGGCTAAGAATAGACCCGCACGGAACACGTTGCTTTTATATTTGTTTTCCTGTGGTCGTTTGTCTTTTATACTTATCTAGGTGTTAATAATTAATATAAGCTGATGAACTTAATATTTATTTTATACAGTAATAATATACACGAGAATATTCAGATCAACGGTTGATATCGTTCATGTTCCTACGTACCGCCGACAGTAGATAATGTAAGTTTGTTTTTTTTCAGGGGTGTTTTAAAAAGTGGATCAAATTGGTCTGATCATGTTAAGATTACCGACAGATTTAAAATCACTTGTTTTGCAATAGTTAATATAGTAGTTATAATTTTCAAACTATATAAACTTTTACCTACTTCAGACTTCATGATGTGCAAATTTAAAATGGACGGTGATGATTAGACTGATCTCATCACCATAATTAGAATCGCATATCACTTGTTATTTTTTTTATAGTTTATAATGTGCTTAGAGAAAGGAAATATAAATACTGTCTGGATTAGAATAATACTTCAAATCAAACAAATTAAAAATTGTGTTATTTACAGACAAATACTCAAAAGTATCATCCATTTTTAAGATGAATGTCATGAATTTTTTTTTTATCAAAACATGGTTTGGAAGTGTTTCGGATGCATTTAATTTAACAGCAAGCTATTACATGGCAACACTTTGATATTTCCATAATCGGGTATACATATCTCATTGCTAGCTTGACCCCTTGTTTCTAGAATTGTAAATTGGTCGAAAATGAATTGAAATTCTTAAATATCAACAAAAAGAAGTTAAATTAAACTTAGTCAGGTTATTCATATTCTGAACAGTTTGGAACAGTAAAATAATATTATTATGAAGTATCTACGAAGAGGGGGAAAATGAAATAATTAATAGTTACTTTAAAAAATATATTTATTATCTTACGTTTTTAAATAGGTTGAAGTTTAAAACTATAATTATAATTTTTAATCCTCACTGTAACTTTGGAGGCAAAACCTCTAAGAAAAAAAATACTCTACACTCAAAACTGCGTCAACCTGGTTAGTCCTGTTTTTTTTTTTTTTTAATCTGTGAATAAAAAGCACAACCAAGGTGCAAAAAGGTTTAGTTGCATATTTTCTATAATGAAAAATACCATACCATCTGCACTAAGCTCATTACTAAAAAATATTTTGAAGCTTTACCAAGTTCAAGTTTCACTGCAACCTTTTTTTCAAGGGAAAAGCGAATTAGGACAGTTACATCTTTTATGGTAATTATTCTTTAACAAAAACAGAAAATTAATTTCTCGCACTCACTATGACTTGGAGAATATTTATAGGTTTTGGTGAGATACAAAAAAAACCTTTTCTTTTAGTCATAAAATGTAGAAAAAGTATTGACTTTTCAAACACATGCTAGCTATTTTCTTTGCTCTGAGGAATCTAATAAAAGGTGAGGAACTAAGGTCAAATTTCTATAGTAGCATTGGGGTACAGGTCAAAATTCAAGAGTGCAAATAGACCCCCGGGGAAAAAGTTTAATTCTTGATACCCTAAATTTTCTCAGAATTTTTACTTTTTATTTGCTTTGTTGACCATCACGGTAAAAATAAATCGACAGTCTTTCGCGTGCCATCCAACAAACATCCAGTAGCTTTTGGTTTAGGGATTTTTTGTGGAGAAGACTGTTTTTAAAACTTTATTAGCAAAATCAATCTTTTTTACGTTTAATTAGCAAAATTAACCTCTCATCTTTGATCGATTTTGCAAAGTATAGTTTTTAAAATGCATGGAACGAGTAGTCTCATGTAAGTGGTGTTGGCTAATCACATACTAATTGAGGTTCAAAAAATTTCAAGAGACTAATTAAATTTTATTAGGGTGTAATTAGGCACCACTAAATACATGAGACTAGTAATCATATGTATTTCAAAGTATCATTTTTGCAAAGTCGACCTCTTTTGGCCATATCGATTTTGCTAATTATGTCAAAAATAGATTGATTTTGCTAATAATGTTTTAAAAAGGGCCTGCTTAAAAAAATTTCCCCTTCCAGCTTATCTTTCCCAGTAACTTGTGCTCACAACAAAACTATGAACGGGATCCAACGCTACAAGTTAGGCCCGACCCGAGTCCGAATCCGGAAACTATTTTCAATTGGAACATTCATGCTAGCTCGAAAAAACTATAGCGAGATTAAAGAATTCCGGTTTCTCCTCTCCTACATTCTGCCCACTAGAAAGTCTTGTGCGAATAATAAGAAGACTTTGGAATACAGTTGAGCGCTCCTTGTAAGCAGAGTGCGGATATCCCACACTTCAACTGTGATCCGACTTGTTGAAAAGTTCTGATACGGCTCCCACAATTTTGGTTTGATTCGGCACTGGATTATCAAAATATATAATAATAATTTTTTAGTACTCAGGCCAAATCAAAACCAATATGGAGCCATATTAGAATCTCCCAACTATCTAGATGACCACGTGAGGGGTCTAGTTATGCGACTTTGATGGATGAGTTTTTTTTTTATAAAAAAGAGGAATGATCTTAGTTGTTAAATCAATAGAGTAAGAGACAAATTGATCAGATCGTAGTTACATTTGTGAGCTCTACAAATGGGTTATGTAGAGTCAATCATTCCAATGAGGTATGGAAGGTGTTTGATGAAATGGGCAGGAGAGTGATGGTTTGTCTAGAGGAGGAAGGCTAGAGAAGCTGATGGGCTTAGTTGATGGGATGGATGAGGATATTCTGAGGCTTCGGTGGTTTTGGATAGAATGAGATGAAGTCGAATGTTTGTTGTGTGTGAACATTATTAGTGGCTTGCACGAACTTAGTAAGCTTAATAAAGCTACAGAGTCTCTTGATGAGATGGTGCGTAGCGGGATTTCTCGGAACCCGGTGATGTAGAAACTTTGTGTCATACATTTTCGAGGGATTTCTACTAAACCAGAGAGTTTTCATGTGTTCGTGGGTTATCATCATGTTAAATAGGATTGTCCAAGAGATGCTGATTGGGTTGTGTCATTTGGAGTACTGTAACCGGTGGATATTTGTGTCGGAGGAAGGAGAGAGAAACAGCTAGATTGATGTCGGATGACCCGGTCATTGAACATCTTGATTCTTGAGTTCTCGATGTGGATTGAGTCCGACTGTGAGCAATGGGTAAATGAAAAATGCATTGCCTGCGTAGTTTGGTTGCATGTTACGGCAAGTTCACTTCATTTTGCCTGTGGAAGTGAAATGGGCTTACAAAAGTACATCATGCTTTACAAGTCTTTTCAATCTTGTGCATGTGATTAATTTTATTCAACAATGTTGTCGTTGGCTTGCTTTGAGGGAGTATGCCTGAGACTTTACAAACAACCCTCATTGACAACTTAACCCTTCTCTATGGTCAATTATCTTATGTTTGCACATCATATGCATTCCTCAAATCTCTCTCTCTCTCTCTCTCTCTCTCTCTCTCTCTCTCTCTCTTTGAGTTATCTTATGTTTGCACAACATATGCATGTTGAGTGCCTTTGCGGAAGCGTGCTCGCACACCAAACGAGTTCTTGAGGCACGAGAGAAGATTAACAAACCAAACACGAGTGCAATCCAATCCAAAATGCGACAAACTAATCATAAACACAGAAATATACGTGGTTTGGCAATTTGCATACGTCCACGGGGAGAGGATGAGGAGATTCCACTAAATCAATAGAAGTACAAAAGGTAACAAATCTCTCAAATACTCAAACTAAACCAACCAAAAGATCTCTCAACTTGCTCATAAATTCTCCCTCTTAATATGTTCAGAACACTCTCTAATCCCTGATTAGGAACCCTAGAAAACCGTGTTTCAATATATACCAAAACATAATCCCAAAGCAAACAGTAAACAAAGCCCAAGCCCAAACCCGATTAGTGGTCGACCATCGACAAAGTCGCGGTCGACTGTGACAAACGACAAAAACCAAAAATCAATTACAGGGTTTAGCGGTCGACCGTCGCGGTCGACCGGTCGTGGTTAGAAACTCATCCCTATCTTGTGCACGTTTCCGATCGACCGTACATGTTGCAGCGGTCGATCGGACAGAAACAAAATCTGTTATCCTGTAATTTTCCTGATTGTTGTTTCTCTTCAATTCTCTACCTCGGTGAAGTTTTCCCAAAATTGAGCCAACACCAAACAAAGAGCATCATTGCGTCATTTCTCCAAACTTGGCTACACCAATGTGGTTACCTACGTACCCCCTCTCCCAAGGGATCAAGCCGCTCATAGTTCATCCAAATGGTCATCAACGGCCTTAAGAATCACGAATGTGTAATAAGTTTCGACAATTATCAAACTTGTTACTCGGAATTACCTTAGTGAGCATATCCGTCGGATTATCCTTCTTGTGGACCTTTACAATTTTCACATCGTCATCTTTAAGAACATCTCGAATAAAGTGATAACGCACGTCGGTGTGCTTCGTCTTCGCATGAAAAACCTGATTCTTCGCCAAATAGATAACACTCATCCTATCACAATAAAGAGTGATGGACCACTGCTATATACCAAGTTCCTCCAAAAGTCCCTGAAGCCAAAT